ATGGCACATAACAACAACAACAATGTTAATAATTAATAATAGTTGCTGTTGTTTGCTGTTGAATCAGAACTGATCCATCGCTGACCTTCCAGAGGGTTTTCAGAGACAATAAATTGCCTGAGAGGAGACTGTCCTTCCTTCTTCCATGGAGCAGCTGGTGGATTTGAACCATGTGCCTTTTGGACTGAAGTGTAGCTTACCAGTAGGCCACCAGTGAGATGTGTATAAAAATCCAAAAAGGGAATGGATGGGTTATGGAATAGAAGCATGGGGAAGGTTGGAAATCATTAGGAAAAAAGAGTCTGGTGAATGAATGTAGTAGGAAAAGGGTGAAGGAATTAGGAAAGATCTAATGGGGACCTGAAAAGATGGGGTAATGAGGGTCAGCAAAGGTAAAGTGAGACGGTGACTGCTACAATGGGTTCCTGTGGGTCAGGAGATGTGAGGATGGCACAGGATAGGACAGGGTTCACATCTGTTATTCACAAGGTCACCATGGTCATACTCAAGGGCACCTAACAACAACAATCAAATGTTTCATGAAAGTGGCAGGATTCAAGAGCAATATATAAAAATAAATGATTCCTCTAAAGTAAAAAAAGATAAATAAGGAAAATAACATTTACAATAGCCACCCAAAGACTATTTAGGTATATACATCTAACCAGAGATACAAAAAGAGCTGTACAAAGAAAATTTGACCCACAACTATAAGAAACCCAAAGAGACTACATAAATAGAAGAACAGGCCATGCTCGTGGATTAATTATGAAAATGTCAACACTAACAAAAGCAACTTATAATCCGGATCTTGTCGTCATTCTTCAAAGAGCTAGAAAAGTAATCAACTCTATATGGGGGAAAACGAGACTTCCTAGAAACAGCACGACTGCAAGATACAACACATAAAGTAGGAAGCCTTACACGGCTGATCTCAAAATCTACTACACAGCCATTATAATAAAAACTGCCTGCTACTAGTACAGCAACAGATTATTAGAACAATATAATAGAAGTTAAATCTATCCTTAGAGGCAAGGGTGATGAAACTTCTTCTCACATGCTTTGGGCATGGTGTCAGGAGCTAGTCCTGGAAAAAAAGCATGATGCTGGAAAAGGTGGCAGGCCAGAGAAAGAGAGGAAGATCCCCAACAAGATGGACTGACCCAGCAACTGTAACAATGGGACCAAGCATGTATACCAGAGCTGGGGAGGATAGTGAAGGATAGAGCAAAGTTCAGAGCTATTGTTCACAGGGTTGCTATGAGTCTAGTTGACATGATGTTACTTAACAACAAGTTGGACTCTATGAAGAAGAATATGGCATCAGGATTGGAGAAGACTCATCAATAACCTACATTGTGTACATGACATGACCTTGCCTGCTGAAAGTGAAGACAACTTGAAACCTTACTGAAGGAGAGCACAGAATACAGCTTTCAATGTGAATTGCATCTCAATATCAAGAAAATAAAAATTCTCATCACTAGACCAATAGGCAACATCAGGATAGAAGGAGTAAAGATTAAAATTGTCAATGGCTTCGTCTTACTTGGATGCACAATGAATGTTCTTGGTATCAGCAATTAGATCAGGAGACATACTGCACTGGGATAGTCTGCACTCAAGAACTTCCCCTAATAACTGAGAAGCAATGATGTCAGTTTGAGGGCTAAGGTATGCCTGATCCAGCCCATGGTCTTTTCAATCATTTGCTATGATGCTGAGATCTGGACAACGAAAAGGGATAACAGAAGAATTGATATCTTTGAACTATGTGCTGGAAGAGTACTGAATATCCTACGGAGTGCCAAAAGAACAAATCGATATGTTTTGGAGAAGATGAAGGAGTGCTCCTTGGAGGCAAAGATGATTAAGGTTTGTCTCACTTACTTCAGGCTTGTTGTTAGGAAAGGCTATTCCTTGGAAAGGGTTATCATACGTGGAGAAGTGGAAGGTCAGTGAAAGTCAGGAAGATTCTCAAGCAGACAGACTGACACACTGACTGCAGCAATGGATTCTAACGTGTCAGAGACTGATCATGAGCATAGCATAGGACAGGACAGGCTTCAGATCTGTTGATCATAGGGTCCCTATGAGTTAACAACAAAAGGTTATTAAGGCAATTAAAACCCAATTGCCTCAGAAGAGAAAAATCTAACTGCCTCAAGTTCCACAACCCACTCACAGAGCAAGCAGGGTCTCAGCTAGGCAGGGTTAGATCAATACCTCTCTGCGGTTGGTGATGTGAGTGGCTGCGTGATCCACATTCCCATCACATGCTCGCAAGCCCAGTCGGGCCTCCTGGGCTGTAAATCCCAGCTGTAATAAATTATGAACTTTTGATGGATCAATGTAAAGCTCTTTAAAGAGTTGACGTGCCTGTAAAAGGGGGGAAAAAAAATTAAGAATCCTATTACTCTATGTTAAACTTCATACAAAGCTTAAGACTAAAAGACCTTAGACTATCAAAGTAAATTCAAATATTGTAGCTTAGAAGAAAAACTCTAAATATTACCTATTAGTATCAATTTACACATATAAAAACAGACACTAACTTGACATAATTTCTACACTCATTCACTCACTGAACAGACTCCCAGCTGACATTCCAGTAGGTTTTCTGAGGCTGAAATTGCACTAGAGGAGCCTGCTCATCTTTCTCCCTTGGAGCACCTGGCGGATTCGAACTGCTAGAGAGGTGTGGCCTTTGGGTTAGCAGCATAACTCCTTACAGACGAGTCCACCAGAGCTCCCTATATGTAATACTGCTGACAAATGCTGTTGAATCAGCTACAAAAGAGTGAACAACAGGAATCCTGTCCATAGTACCAGTAAACAGGGTGAATGTTGTGGAGGGATCTGTATTCTTTCTGGTAATAAAATCCCTGGAATTGACCCGTGCACCCCACTTTCCAGCCCTCATATCCCTGCAGCTGGTTGGGATGGTGAAGTTCCAGCCCCTGTGACATAAGGAGACACTGTATTCCAGTTTCTGGGCCATCTCTTTGAAGATTAAATCCTGAACCCTCTCTCCCTCTCTGCTGGCCTGCTCACCTCTACTATTAGAGGAGGCAGAATTAACTGCTACCCAGGGGAAGTTGCTGAGTTTTGAAGTTTCTTTTTATTTCTGGCGTACAATTTATAAAGTTTCTGTACCTTATGTTTATGGTATGGGAAGAGAGATACATGTTTTTCATAAACCACAAACTCAATTCCCTAAAATACTAACTTCTGGGAATTGGAAATGAAAGTCTAGTGAAAGGTTAACAACTTCTGGGATTCATTCTCTCACCTTGTTGAGATACTCACGAGCCTCTTCACCATTTCCACTGTGATAGTTTCGGATACCTTGAAGCAAGTAAAGTCTTAAGAATAACACCTTCTCTTTGCCACAATTTCCCTAAAATTGTAAGGAAAAAAAGAAAAGGATAAATATCTTATGTTTAATGCTAGTTACATAACAATCACAGAAGCAAAGCTGCATTCCTAACAATTTTTTATTTTCACTATTGTTAATGACAAAAGTGAGAGTCTCCGGACACAGTGACATTCCCTGTGACACCCAGAAGACACGGTATCAGACCTCCTGTCCTGAAACACGCAGGACAGTGGTGGTTCCCGTCAGTGGAGAAGTGGACAAAAATGCAAACCAGGACTGTCTTACTCTCCCCTGCAATTTCCAAGCAGAATTCTGGTGATTTGTTGCAATCACTTGAAGAGAAAACAAACAAACAAACAAACAAACAAACAAACAAACCAAACTTTATTCAAATCATAGCTCCTGAGCTATGATTCCATTCACGTGGCAACTACTGGCCACAGCATGTACTCTACACATAAATCTTCCATCAAATTCCACCAGGTATCAACATGTCACCAGTTCTCCTTGGTTGAGCATGACCACACAGAGTCCAGTAGGAGAAAGCAGTGTTCTTCTGGGCTAAGCATTGTGCACACAGAATCAATCTAGGCTGTAAAATGCTTCACAATTACCTTTAAATATATCACTTTAAAAAGCACACTGTCTATATTACTATCAAATAAAAGTAGTGTCAAGCTGTTAGGAGGAATAAACACAAATTCTAGAAGTGGCTTCAAAAATAGACAAAATAAATTGTAACAACATACTTTGATGTGGACCAATCTCTGATGATTCTCTCCATAGCAATTTTTAAAGCATTTCTGGGCTAAGTTTAATTTTTTTTCTGCATCATCAAGGCACTCCAGCTGCTCCAGGCGGAAGTAGCACCACACGATATCGAGCTGGAGTACTGCATAGTTATCGACGGTGTCCAGCAATTCTGTGCCGCACTCACTGTGAAGAAGGAGAAGGTGCCATTGGAATTAGCAGTATGAGAGGGTGTCTTACCAATGAGTGGAATTCTCTGCCAGCCAATGATGTATTCTCAAAGACTTACAGCTATGAAACAGTGGGAAGAAAAAAACAAAACACTAAACCACAACCAACAGAACTAGGGCTCAGGAAAAACAGGGTACTACCACACCATCTATCCACAACACAAATCCACTCATGCATTGCTATGCTGGAACAAAGACTCTACCCATCCCTCACTAGGCTGGACAAAGAGTCTTGGCAGGAAGTAGCGATTTGGGCTACTAGTTCAGAAATGCTCAGCAAACACAGGCCACACGTCTAATCCTGATTGCAAATTACAATCATCTCAACATGAGAAACATTTTTTGGTTTTGGCTGGATTTTGTGGTGGTGTTTCTTTTCTTTGAGAAATACTAACATAAGGACTCCACCTAAGACTATTTACAACAGAAATCTCTAGGGATGAGGCCTGGACACTGTATTTCAAGACTCTCCAGAGATGATTCTAATGCTCAAGATGAGGCTGAGAATCCCTTAACACACTGCAGCAAATGACGGTAATACAACAAGAGCGGGGGTGGGGATGGGGTGTGTATTTTTATTTTATTTAAATTTTTTTATTATTATTATTATTATTTTTTATGTGTGTACCGTCAAATCGGATCTGATTGGTACAGGAGGCAATTGTTCCTCCTTCTTCAGCAGAGCATCTGGTGGATTTGAACTGCACACCTCTGGGATTACAGTGCAGCTTCTTGCCACTAGGCCACCAGAGCTCACCTGTTATTATATTTTGGGGGAACACTCTTCTAAGTGGTATAGCGCTCTTCTGTCAATATGCTGTACTGAAGTAACCTGGGGTTGCCGTGATGCTGAACCTTGTGCCATTGGGTGTCAAATACCCTAACAGTTAGCCATGGTGGACAGTGTTTAGTGGAGCTCCCAGTTTAAGTCAGGTTTGGAAAGAGGAGTGTCATCCACTTCCTAAACAATATGCCTCTGGAAACTCGATGAACTTTGATAAATGATGATAGTTAAAGAAAGGCTTCAGGTCTTTTGTTCATAGTGTTACTATGAGTCATGCTGGACTTGAAGGCAATCATCAACAACAACAACATGGTTGAGTGAAGGCACTTTCTCTTAATCTTCTGCTCAGTCTGAGAACTTAACTTTGAGAGAAGAGAACCTTTTGTGACTGTGGTCTGACCTTTTACACTCAAGATGACATTTATGGATCTGACTGTGGAAATATTCTGACTTCTGTGGCAGGAGACTTTCCCACCTTTTATATGAGAGAAGTGGGTTTTGCTAGTTTTCATTTTCCTTATGTCTTTATGTGTGAGCAGGCGCTTTCTGATTTAATCTAAGCATCAAGAGCACGGACAGAAATCATGTGATAGCAGTAGAAAATAAAATCAACATGTTTATCTCAAGCTCAGCAAAAACTGAGATACAGACAAGATACAGAAAAGAAAAGAGAACGGGCCTTGCTTCAAGGAGTTCCATTTCACTGCTTCAGTTTAAAAACTAATTATGCATATATAGGCCTATACAAGAGATCAAATAATTTACCACTTTCATGGTTAAAACATCAATTAAAATAAATGTATAATCTTTATTTAAATAAAAGTGATCAAACTTCCCTTGGGCCAAACTCATCTGGGCTTTAGCCAATTGTGTAACAGAAATCTATTGTGTTTTGCCTTGTAACTTTAAAGGGTTTGTTGTGTTGTGGCTTGTTTTTTTCATATAAAATGGGTATTACTTACAAGAAAATAAAGAACTTTTCTTTTTTAAAAGAAAGGCTAAAATCTTTTAGCTTCATTATGGCTTTAAGGAATTGTACTGTGTCACAGTGTAGTTCCGATTACAGTTCTTGTACTTGGGGTTGATGTGGTTTTACTATTATTAGGTATTGTTATGTCAGCTCTGCCTCAGAGACCCTATTGTTGTTGTTGTTGTTGTTGTTGTTGTTATGTGCCGTCGAGTCGTTTTCGACTCATAGCGAGACCCTATATACAGAAGTAAATACTGCCCTAGCCGCTGGCATCCACACAATGCTGTACCCTTCCAGAGAAGCCACTGTCAACCCATCCTGCTGAGAGTCCTCCTCTATCTATGACCATCTGCTTAACCTAGCCCCAGGGTCTGGCCCCTCCTGATAATATGCCAAAATACATGGCACAAAGCCTCACCATCAGCATTTCCAAGGAACACTATAGCTGCAATTCTTCCAAGGCAGTCTGCTGCTTTTTGTTGTTGTGTGTCATGGAGTCGCCTGCAACTCATAGCGACCCTATGTACAACAGCCCTAAACTCTGCTCTGTCCTGTGCCAATCTCACCATCTCCGACACACCTGCCCCCATTAGTACCCCAGTCACTGTATCAATCCGTCTCATTGAGGGTCTTCCTCTCCTGTGTTGTCCCTCCACCCTCCCAAGCATGATGTCCTTCTCCAAGGACTGGTCCCTCCTTGTAACTTGTCCTAAGTATGTCAGACGAAGCTTCAGAATCCTTGCCTCCAAGGAGAACTCTCCAGGACAAACCTGTTCGTTTTCCTAGCAGTCCATGGTATATTCAATACTCTTCTCCAACACCACAGCTCAAAGGCATCAAGTCGGCTCTAAGCTGGTAAAAATTTTTCTTTCCAATTTTTTTTTTCTGTCCCCCTGGTGATCCTTTCCAGGAATACCAATAAACATAATTAAGATGCTTAGAGCTGTCCCACAATTTGCTAATGTTCTATTAATTTTTTTTTCTAATCTTTTTTCCTTCCGTTTCATTTTGGCTAGTTTTAACTGCTCTGTCTTCAAATTTTCTAATCTTCTCTTCTTCAGTATTAAATTTCCTACTGTTGATTTAGTTCTAAGTCATCAGGTTGGAACCAACCCTTAGCTGACCTTCCAGAAGGTTTTCAGAGGCAATTTAATCACAGTGGAGGAGATCAGAGCTGATGGGTTTGAACCGTGTGCCTTTGGTATGGCAGCTTAGCTCATTACCACTAGACCACCAAAGCTCAATAAGCTGTCAATCCTATACAATGCATTTTTTATCTTGGTCTTTTGTAGAGCTTTCATGTGTTCATGTAACATGATCACACAGAATCTGTTTCCGTGTCTTTATCCACTAAGTCTATCTTCTGTGTCATTTCTGGATATGTCTGTACTGATTTTTTTTTTCTCCCCCTCATCTCATTACACTTCTTATTAGAAAGTCCTGTTTGCATAGTAATTTTTAGTTGGAGCCTGTGTATTTTTGAGCTTAGTCCAGCATAGTCACCCGACAAACAGTTGAGTTCTTTCCATGACTGCACGCACGTAAGCTTTGTTAGGAAAAATCAGTGCAGCCTTTAGGGCTACATTTGTCCTACTACTGAAGCAGTGTCTTTCCAAGTCCTTTATCCAGTACTCCTTAATTTTGAAGCTGTCCTCTCTTGAGTAGTAGAAATGTACACTATCCCAGGGCCTTTGTGAGCTCTGCTTACAGAGTATCTGTTTCTTTGGGAAATGCTTTCCCTAGCTTTGGAAAGTTCCCTCACACACATGTGCTGATCATTAGTCAGAAAACTCAAAGGAGACCCTCTGAGTATTTCTTAAATGCTCCTTCTGGTCACTAAGTCCTCTCAGTTACACTGTCCTATTAACTCCACCCACCTACGTCTCCTGAATTTCTAATTTTATCTCTTCAAGTCTGGTGATATCAAGAAGCTCCACCTAGGTTTTCCTGGTCCTGTACTACAAAGTGGGAACTCCCTCCAGGCAGTAAACTAGAGCAATTTCAGAGTTCACACTGTTTGCTTCCCGTTTCAGGGGATCAGGGTTCCCTGCTGCTTAAAAGCCATTGTTTCACATATATTTTTCCAAAGTCTTATTTCAGTAGAGGATAAGTCCAGTCATTACTCCATGTGAGCCAAAAGTGGAAGTCTTGGCTTTAAAATGGGGAAATTGCTATTGGTCTCAAAACAGAGCACATTGATAAAATTCTTTTATTCACAGGAAGAATACTATTCTTTAAGATATAAATAAGCATCCTCTACAACCTTGGAGAAGGATATGTTTGATGGGGGGTGGAGGGGAAGGTTAGCACAGGAGGAAGACCCTAGATGAGATGGACTGATACAGGGCTCTGGCTATGGGGGAAGTTATGTAAGAGATAGTGAGGTTGGCTTAGGATAGGACAGGGTTCAGAGCTATCATTCACAGGGTTGCTATCAATCACAGTTGACTTGATGGCACAACAGATAACAGAAAGTGTAATGAGACTTGACCCTATCAGAGAAGAGAGAGAACAAAATAGACAGAAAATTAAATAAGTGAAGTTTCCTGTACCTGTATTACTGTTTTCCATTATCCTTCATGAGAAAAGGAGAATTGCACTGTGTCATCCTAGAGAGGGTTAAACCAGGCAGCTCCTTGGAGGCAAGGATTCTGAGGCTTCATCTGACATACCTTGGACATGTTATAAGGAGGGACTGATCCTTGGAGAGAGACATCATGCTTGGAAGGGTGGAGGGACAGAGCAGAAGAGGAAGGCCCTCTATGTGGTGGACTGATTCAGTGACTGGGGTAATCGGGATGGGTGTGTCAGAGACAGCGCGACTGGCACAGGACAGAGCAGAGTTTAGGGCTATTGTACATAGGGTCGCTATGAGTCGCAAGCGGCTCGACAGCACATAACAACAACAACAACAGTGTTCCCTTTTTCTATTCTCACAGTAGCCTTCTGGTCCAGGTACAGGTTCTGCATGAGCACAATTAAGCTGCTTTGGGATTCCCATTCTTCTCAATGTTAGCCATAACTCATTATGATCCACACGGTCAAATGCCTTTGCAAAGTCAATAAAGCATAAATAGACTTTCTTCTGGTATTCTTTACTTTCAGCCAAGCTCCATCTGACATCAGCAATGATATCCCTGGGGCCACAACCTCTTCTAAATCCTGCCTGAACTTCTGACAGTTCCCTATGTATGTACTATTCTAGACATTTTTTAATAATCTTCAGCAGTATTTTGTTTGCATGTGATATTAATGATAATGTTCAACAGTTTCCATATTCTATTGGATCATCTTTCTTGGGAACAGGAACAAATATGGATCTGTTTCAATCTGTTGGCCAGACAACTGTCCTATAAATTTCCTAGCAGACTGATAAGAGAGTCCAGGGATATATCAATACTTGTAACAAGTCACTTGGCATCCCATCAATTCTTGGGGTCTTATGTTTTGCCAATGCCTTCAGTACAGATTCAGCTTCCTCCTTCATTACCATTGGCTCCTGCTAACATGGTAATTCCTAAAATTTTTCAGTGTCTTCTATTCTTTTTGGCACAGTAACTCTGCATATTACCTCCATCTTTTTTAATGCTTCCTGAGGCATTCAATTTATTGCCTATAGCAGCTTTCAATATTGCAACTCTCAATAATGAGTCACTCAAGCTTCAGAATTTATGAAGTAAGAAATCTAAACTCAGATACCATCTCTAGAGAAGAGATTTTTCTCTCCGTTGGTTCTCAGGGTAAAGTGGAGGGAGTATTTGTCTCCCTTCAACCTGTGTGGACCTGACATTCCTTGGAAAAGTACATGTGTCCTGACATCAATCTTCTCTTAGATCTAGGATGGTCTTGGTGGAGAAAACTGCAGTCCAGAGCAACGCTCCACTTCCAGTTCTTTCTGTTGGCGGTCAGGTCCCTCTGACATTGGCTCACATGTTTAAGCAAATCCCAATGAGAGGACTGACATAGTTACTGCAAAAAACAGGCTCGAGCATAATTAATTCTTTTTTTGCCCAAGTTATTTTAAGGTGAGATTTGTTCACTTAAAACCCAAAGGAACTGATCTGTATAACTGATATACTAAAAACATTTGCATTCATCTTCTCAATTAATATAGTATTACACTGGGAATTTATCAAAATGAGGAAGAATACTAAAATTGTTAACTTTTTACCTTTTCAAATATCAAGTCTATTTTCTAATTTCTTGATATGCCTAGCTTATAGTGTCTACCTACAACTTTCCATTTAGAGGATCCATGAATCCTTAGGAAATTTTTGATCCCCAGTTTAGAGCAAGGAATGACCAACGTATAATGAGTAACTCTGAGTACCCCTGAGATGAAAGACTATAAACTTCTACAAGAATCGCCAGAATCATCTCAGAGAACTCAGGAGCCACCAGCAGGCTAAAGACGGGCAGTTTAAGCACTGAGCTTTCAAACCAGTTTGTACTGATACTTGGGGTAAAAAAATCTAACTGATCATCTTTAGAAGATATGAGAGAATAAATTTATTTACTCTGAAAATAAGAAAATAAAAGCAAAGACTAAGGATTTTATCCTGTTTCCTACACACATTTTACGCTGGTGAAGTAAAATATTTCTTTATACACCAAATGATCTGCTGGACAAGGAGAGGCAATCTCCTCCTGTGCCAATCAGATCTGACTTGACGGTACACAACAAGAGAGAAAAAAATTTTTTTATAGAAAACCCCAGATAAAAAATTCAAAATGAATAAATGAATACCACCCTATACCAGCCACTATTAAAACAATGGATTTGGAGATAATTATAAATGTTTTCACCACACCCTTAGGTGAACAATTGAGAAGGGGAAACTAGTTCAGCTAACAAAGTATCACAAAAAAGAAGTATGTTTGCTGGAGAAAAAGTAATAACATGTATAGAAGTAGATATCAATAGTATATAAAATCATTATATAAAACACAATGTATATGAATGATTACATGAAGTACAATGTAAATAAAAGACTGTGTAAAACAGTGTATATGAAGGAAACAATGTATACAAATATATGCAAACCAATTAAAAAATCACCAAAATAAGATAAAATATAGATACAGTTACTTTCTTCACAGGGAAATCAATTATATATATGAAAAAAAGAATTCCTAAACTGGTCTGCACCATTACTATTCACAGTAAGCATTGCTTTGTTTGATAATCTGAGTCTGAAGTGTACATGGGGGAGGGAGGGTGCTGTGTAGAATTTGGGCCATCTTCCTTAAAACTGGCATTCACTACAAATGTTCCTACCAGAAATATTTGTCAGCATCCAACAGACACGGCAATGCTATTCCATATTCTTTTCTCTTCAGGAAAGCTCTGCCCTTCTCATGATATCCCATAGCCAATGTAAGAGCCTAGGAAAAAAGGCAGATTTTTAAAAATCACTTTATATTACAATAAAACAAATTATACTAAAAGTATATTCATTCCAAAAATCTAACAAAGTAAAAACAAGCTGAATCACAATTAAAGCTAAAATCTAAAATGAAGGCAAATACGATTAATTATTTTAACAGTAAAACAAAATACTCAATTGAACTTGTTTGACATGGTCATAATCAGCACCTACCATATCAGATCCATCAGTTTACTATAGTACCCGCTTCTCTATACTTCCTCCTAGCATTCTGTTAAGACCTAATTTGTAAGAAAGTTGTCAGTAAAGCTCATATCCTTAAAAAAGGGAATATTTATTTCATTTTCTAGTGTTAATCATGTTTTTTTTCTGAAGTTCTGTCAACTATAGTATTTCCAAAACAATTTTTTTAAAGATAATTAAAAAAATTAAAGTTCTGATAAAAAGATGCTATGGAAGCTCTGATGGCCTACTGTGTGAAAGTGTGCTGCAATCTCAAAGGCACATGGCTCAAATCCACCAACTGCTTGCTCTATGAGAGAAGGATGGACAATCTCCCTGCGATTTACTGTCTCTGAAAACCTGGTGGAGGGTCAGCTATGGGTCAATTCACAACAACAGCAATCCAGAAAGGTTTTAAATTCATTAGCTTGTTTTAGAATTTAGTATTTATGTAATTCAGTCTTACAAAGGTTTCCCAATGAGATCTAGATGTCATCATTTAATATAAAACAGAATCACTAACACTTCTAGAAAGGGGGGGAAATCAACTCACCATTTCTATTGCATAGCTTTCTTATTAAAACTTAACCTTAAACTTCTATTTTAAACACAATAATTCAAACAAACTAAAGCTTTAGTTTTTGTACCAGCAGCCAGGAAAGCAAAAGATGAATTGCATTGGGAAAGTCTGCTGTCAGGGTCCAGAGTACTAAAGAGCAATGACATCAGTCTAGAGACTAAGGTGTGCCTGATCAAGGCCATACTCTTCACAATTACTTGCTAAGCGTCATAAAGCTGGACAATGACTAGGGATAATAGGAAGAGAATTAATGCCTTTGAGCTTTGGTGCTGGAGAAGAGTATTGAATATACCACGGACTGCAAGAGAACAAATAGGTTCACCCTAAAGAGGGTAAAACCAGACTGCTTCTTGGAAGCAAGGATTCTGAAGCTTCATTTAACATACTTTGGGCATGTTGCAAGGTGGGACCTAAGAAAAGGGTCAGAATCACCAGTCAGTTTCCCTAAACTGCCTGCACTACCGTTCTCTTTTCAGATATATCTCTTAGGGACATGGGCCACTGGTAACATAAGCCAAACCAAACTAAGCACTGCCAGAGGAGGAGCGCTATCCTGAAGGCAGTGGGTAATGCTCTCAGATGTGTTCAACATCACAGTCAGAGGACAAGACAGAGCAGTCAGTACACCTCTCTGAGAACTCAGAGACCCACCACGTCCAGCACAGCACAGACTTGAGACTTATGTACAGGGTTCAAGACAGAAAACTTTCAAGTATTCAAAGATAAAAGGATTGCAAGACAACTGCACTGCAATCCCAGAGGTACGCGGTTCAAATCCGCCAGATGCTCTGCTGGAGAAGGAGGGGGCAATCTCCTCCTGTACCAGTCAGATCTGATTTGATGGTACACCTAAAAATAATACAATAAAAATTTAAAAAAAAAAAAGAAAAAAGAAAAAAAGGATAAAATAATTAGAAAAATACCTCAGTTTTGACAACAACTTTAAGAACTAACCATAGCTTTTTCTAGTACTTACTTTCCTTTCTGAGGGGGGAATCTTGATGGATCTGCCTGTCTGGTTGGCTATGTCTAGGTATGGTGTAGTGTCTGGGTCCACCACCATCTCAGCTGTAAGAAAACCAAAAAGACCGTCACTATCCAATGTTCAAGACCTGAAAAAAGACACCACTGTAAAAAAATCAGACCAGTTAGGGCAAAAAAAATCAGCAAGAAATATGACAGCTCCCAGCTCCATGGCGTGCACCTTTGACAACATATTTCAGTCAGTCAAAGTCCTATGTACCTCTCTCAGCCAGTATCTCCAGGCCTCTCTTGGTCCTCTGAATTTTTTTTTCTTTTACTTCAGCTTCATTTTGCTCTTCTTCTTCTGCCTGAGAGTTCTTCCTCACATCCTCTTCAGACTGCTCCAGCTCAAGCACCATAGCCTTCACATTGTGCGTCACTCCTTGCTCTTCCAGTGTTTTCCCTGTCAACATCAGAAATATGTATTACAGAAAGAACCTTTGCATTCACAAGCCAATGAGCCACACTCACAATAAATGAACATCTAAACCTGCATTAACATTTGCAAACTACATCAGGAAATGATGAAGCGACAGGTACTTATTACTGTCGTTATGTACCTTAGAGTCAGATGCAACCCACAGCTGACTTTCCAGCTGTTTTCAGAGGCAGTTAATCACACAGCAGGAGAGTAAGCAACTTGGCCAGTGAGAACAGAAAGATTTCCAATGGTCTTTATTCACATCACCAGACTGAATCAAAGTAACAAGCAGTTGGCAATTCACTACAGGAAAGCACTGTCCCAGGCCATATAAAGAAAAATGAGCAAGTATAATACAGGAATTTTCCTGCCCCCTGGTAAGAGAAACAATAAACCCAATTAATAGCTACAGACAAGAAGTTACAATGCCAGGAAGCCCTGACAGTTAACTTACAGGAGAGGTGAAAAGCAAAGATATGGCTCTGTTCTTTTAAACTCTGAAGCCAAGGAAGCGGCCTATCTTCTAGCCCTCAAATTTCTCATATGAAACATAAGTAAAGAAAAGGCCAGAAATCAATAAAGAGGAATGAAAGAGAGAATATTAGATGCTAACCAAAGTAAAAACTCTGAAAAGACTGATCAAATATATTAACCTAACAGAAATTAGAGATGCAAAAAAATAACACACAAAAAGGAAAAGTGTAGAGACAGAAACCAATTTTAAAGTAAAAATCTATTATAAATTATAAACATATCTGTTTAAACACATTTCTGGAAAAATAGTAAATGCCAAAATTGGCTTAAGAAGAAATAGAAAATTTGAATAGGTCAATAACTGCTGCAAAAATTAAAACACTATTCATGCTGCTATAAATTAATTTATGTTCTCAAAATAAAGTATGTTCAAGTCCTAACCACAGTACCTGTCAATGTACCTTATCAGGAAACAGGTCTTTGGAAATAGTTCACTTTACCTGAAGTCATATGGAAAAGGGCAGACCCAAATCTAACAACTGAAGTCCTCATAAAAGGACAAAAGACCAAGAACCGAGAGATACAGAGGAAAGAACGCGATTTAAAGACAGACATAACTGAAGTTATGTTGCCATAGACAAGGAACACAGGAGACCCCCACGGAATACAGGTGACTCCCACAAGGTAGAAGACAGCCAAGATTCCTCGCTACAGTCTACAGAGAGAGCAAAGCCCCTCCTTGACTTGATTTCAACTTTTCATCCTCCAGAACAGTAAGACAATGAGTCTGTGTTATTTTAAGCCACCTGACTGTGAGACTGCACTATGAAGCTCGGTTGTTGCTTGCCTTGGAGTCAAAACCGACTCACAGCTGACCCTCAAGCTGGTTTTGACCTTCAAGAGACTGTAAACTGCACAGGAGGAGGAGTGCCCATCTTTCCGATACAGAGCCACTGGTGGATTCAAACCATGTGCCTCAGGATTGGCTGTAACTTTTTACCACTAGGCCACCACTAGTAAACAAATATAACAACCAATAAAGGAGGCCCTGTGCTCACTTTTACAGGTAAACGCTACCAAACCTGTAAGGTACATGTACACCTGGTTCCACACAATAAAGTGAGACAAAAGGTTGCCCAATTCATTTCATGATGCTGGTATAATCTTGACTCCAAAGCTAAACAAGAATAGAAAATTATAGGTTCCTTTCACCTATGAAATGGATAGATAAGAAAATCCTAGGTAAAGAATAAGCTATTTGTATTTGTATTTTTTAAAAGCTACATCATGATCAGATAAGATTTACTTTAAAAAGGTAAGACTGAGCTATATGCACATGTATATGAGTCTCTGCCTGTATTCACATATATGCACACAAACTGTAAAGGAGAGTTATAGATTTTTTCAGATATAATCAAACATGTTACGGAATAGTTACGTTCGCTAGTATCCCACTGTGCTTTTGATGATCATTCAAATTTGGCTTCATAATTTTTCTAGGGTTGCTGCCTAATTATATATACTTTAGCACATAATTCTTTTTCTCTTGTACACTTCTTAGTGACATTGTTTACTTCTGACAATTATCAATGTCTGTGGTATATATTGAGTATGTATAAATATACCCATACATATATATGTTCTTTTTTTAACTTTTTTATTAATTTTTTAAAATTTAGTATTAATTTCAATGAAAATTTACAGAGACTTTGGATTTCCATTCATTCATTCATTGCACTTTTCTCTCTCCCAACTCTCCCCCCTAGTACACTACCCTCCTGGAAAAGTAAAAGAAAAATTCTTTTATCGTTTTACAAACCCTCCCCCAGGTCCACTTCACTATGCAGCCTTCACTCTGGACTCCTGGCATGATAAAAATACCTAATCACATATCCCTTTTAAACAGTTTTCTCCCTCATCTGTTTCAATGCAGTATACATTATTGAACCCATTTTTCTCAGTCTCCCCACAACCCTGAGGTCAGTCCTGTTTTATAACAGTGGCACCATGCAGTATTTGTCCTTTTGGGACTGAGATACTTCACTCAGAATAAT